CCCCCGTAGCCGAAGTTGGATTGGAGAATGCCGCGCTCGCAATAGCGCCCCACATACTCTCTCCGTAGTCCTCCTCCGCTGCTGACTCTGGGTTCTCCTCACCCTTTTGCTGCTCCTTGGTTGCTGCACCACTCTCCTTAGGTTCACTGAACTTGCTGGTCCCTCCAGGTTTGCTCTTCTTGAGCTCATTCTCCTTAGCGCGACCGTTCGCGCCATCGTCGCTACCGACCGCTCCATCCTTGGTGCTGATGCTTGCTGCCACTTGCCTCTCCTTAGGCATAGGGACCACTGGGATCTGCCACATCTCGTTGTAGACATCCCTGTCCTCATGAAGGTCCCAAAGAATTCGATCGCCAAGCCTTGCGGTGTAGGTCTTGGCTCCCTTCGAGTTCGTGTCCATGCCGGCCTTTGCCAACCGCCGCACGGAAATCAGGTTTGCAGCAAGGCTGGGCACCCAAAGCACGTTCTTGAGGCCCACCATCTTCCCATCAGCACCCTTGAACATGGCCTTGCCCATGCCTTTCACCTCTGCTCGCTGCCCCAAAGCCGATGTGACATGCTTCACCGGTGACGGCTCGAGTTCGGTGAGCAAGTCCGGGCGAGGTGTCATGCTATAGGTAGCGCCACTATCAATCACCCAATAGTCCAGGGGGTGTAGGGTCACCTTCCCCACAGCTGCTGGCTCCTCAAAGCCTTCATCCTTCTCTGGACCAGCCGGTACTTGCGTCGAAACGAAGTAGAATAGACCCGGGTATCGATCGTCGCTCGGGTCCTTGTCGTTGTCTCCGCTCTTCATGTTTGCAGCTCCGCCACCGCGACCGCCACGGCCTCCACGGCCTCGTCCTCTCCCTCCTCCTGCTCCTCTACCCTCTTGGCCTTGAGCAGGGGTCCAACCATCAGGGAGTTTGTAGCAGTCGCGCCACATGTGTCCGCTCTTGTGGCAATAGTGACACTCGCCGTCGAATCGGCCGCGACCGCGTCCGTAGCTCTTGTCGTCGCTGCCGTAACCGCCACTCCTGCGGCCTCCGCCGAAGTTGCTGCCACCAAACCTTCCTCCCCCTCGTCCTCTGCCTCTTCCTCGACCATATCCACGGCCGATGCTCGCTGCCCCAGCGCCATCCGCACTCGCCAACTCACGGCGGCGGAAATCCTCTTGAAGGATAGCTCGCTTCACGTCTTCAAGCGAGAGGCGGGGCAAGTCGCGATTAAGGTTGATGATGAGCGAGGACCATGACTCTGGGAGTAAGGCCAGCAACTTGGTCTTCTTTTGGAGCTCACTGTAGTTCAAATCAGCTCCCTCAAGCCGCGTCAACAAGTCGAAGAATTTCTGCACCCCTTCTTCAACCGCTTCGTCTTCTTCAATTCGTAGTGCCGCCATTTGCCGTTCCAACACCACCGCTACCGCCGCTGTTGCAGGAGCATGTACACCCTTGAGAGCAGCCCATGCCTTTGGTCCTTTCTCTGGTTCACGCTGGAATGGCTTGATGTGACGGATCTGACTGCTCCCCAACGCTTGCCCAAGTAAGAGATAGCCTTGTGCGCTCTTCCGCACCCACGGGCTCTTCTCCGGGTCGTTCTCGGGGCGCTTCTCCGTTCCTTCCATCACCTCCAGCAGGTCATAGTGGTCAAAGATGTTCTCCATCTTGAAGGACCATTCAGCAAAGTTGTCACCGTTGAACTTGTCAAGCCCAAACACCCTAGGCTCATCCCTAGGTGGGCCAAGACTTGGTTGCATGGGTGCCATGGCTGAATCACGGGGTTGGCCTTGAGCTTGAGCTTCTCCACTGCCACCAGCACCTCTGCCACCCCTTTCCTCAGGTCCAGACATTGTCGAAACTGCTCCAAGGGGCTCTGATACCACTTGTTATAGTCACAATAGGCTTGAATGTGCCTAAAACGAAAGATAGAGAGCACAGACGGATTTCTGCACAGCGGATTCAAACGTTGATAGCGTTCTGCTCACAGCTGCAAATGACTTGATTCAAATTGGATCTGGAGCGTCTTTACGTCGTCTACAATTAGCAATTTAGATTGCACGATTTGATAAAGAATTGACGACACAGCGTCGGTTTGAACGAACGGTACTATGGCAGCCACTATAGTCTTAGAACACAAGATAGGAAGAGTTACGAGTTGGGAATGACTCCCAGCTCCTACAAACCCCAAGAGCCGAGGTACAGTGATGTGGAACAGTGCCACACTGTCCCCAACCACGAAGGGTCTCGAAAATACCCTTCACTAGGGCCTACACCAAGTGAAATGTTACACTACACAAAGTTATATAAATATCTTCAATATCTTGAGGTGTACCCTTTTTGGCGAGCTTCGAAATCACTTGAGGCTTGACACCAAGGCTCGGGCTCTTCATCACAAACTCATCCTTGAGTTCTTGATGGGTCTGCTGCACACACCTGCGACACGCCGAACGTTCGACACAGGACAAAATAGAAACCGCGCACGACAAAATAAAAACCGCGCGCGAGACACAAACGACCGCGTAACACGCGTCTAGCGATAACTCGCTATTGACTCGACACACACACTCGACATCATGACTCAACATTCACACACAATTATAAGCATGAAATATATATTATCCCATGCCCTCATACCATTCCATACACACACACATTCACGCACACGGACAACAAGCCGAGTGCAAACCGTAGGGTTGCACCAACAGTCGTCGAGGCAACCAGCCGCGCAAGGAGAAGCAGGCGTCGAAGACGTCTCCGACGAAGGATGCTGACTCTTCTGGCGGCAATGCTCGTGGCGAGGAGGCTTCGTGCTCGATGGTCGACGTGGTGGAGCCGACGATCTCGCGGGCGCTGGAGGCTGGCGAAGACTTTAAGGCGGTCGCTGCTGCTGTCCATGCCAATCCGACTGTCGTGCTGCTCGACAACGGCTGCTCCCACCATTTGATGGGGACGAAGGAGGCCTTCGTCGACATGCAGCCGAGCGGCGACGCGCGCCACGTCCGCGGCTTCAACGGGGCACTTCAGAGCGTCGAAGGTAGAGGCACCGTTGCTCTGCAAGGGGAGGCCGGGAAGCAAGTCCTCGTCCCCGGCGTACTCTACGTTCCGGGTGTGCACGCGAATTTGCTGTCTGCATGCCAGTTCAAGGAGAACGGCGTGAAGCTTCAGGACGACGGCGGAGAGATGCTGCTGGTGTCTTCTGCCGGCGATGTCCTTGGTCGAGCACGCTACTCCGGCAGAATTCTCTGCACCGACCTGCGCCCCTGCTCGACGAAGTCGACGACGACTTCGACGGAGGTTGTGGCTCTGCGGACGATCGCATCAGCGACGAAGTCGACCCCGGACATGTGGCACGCACGGCTTGCGCACGTCGGCGTCGACACGATCAACAGCTCGGCGAAGCATGAGGTCGCTGCTGGTCTGGACAGTCGACCGAAGATGATATGCCGTGTGCCTCCTGCGTCGGCGGCAAGATTGCGCGGCACACCTTCCCCGACCAAGGATCGGACGCAGAGAATGCGCTCGACGTGGTGCACATCGACCTCTGCGGGCCGTTTCGGATGGCTGCCAACGATGGCAGTCTCTACTTTCTTCTGCTGAAGGATAGGAAGACTCGCTACGTATGGGTGAGGCCGGTCGCGAAGAAGAGCGACGCGCTGATCTTCTTTGACAAGTGGCTGAAGGTGGTGGAGAGGAAGACTTCGAAGACGGTGAAGATGCTGCGTTCTGACCGCGGAGGGGAGTTCCTCGGTCTTGCCTTCACCGAACTCGTCGAAGACAAGGGAATCCTCCACAATCTGACGTGCCCCTACACTCCGCAGCAGAACGACATGGCGGAGCGGGAGATGCGCACGGTCGTCGAGGCCGTGCGGACGATGCTTCTGCACATGGGCGTGAAGCATCACTGGTGGCACCTTGCTCTGCAACAGGCTGTCTGGGTGCGCAATTGCCTCGAACAGGCTTCTTTGCCTTCGGGGACGACGCCGCACGAGCTGCTGTTCGAGAAGAAGCCGGACTTGACGCTGGCGCGCGTGTGGGGCTGCATGGTGCAGTTCATGGTCCCCGAGCAGCGGCGGGAAGTTGGCGCCGAAGGCCCGTTGGGGTCTTCAGCTCGGAGTGTCGGCAGAGAGCAAGGGCTGGGAGGTGCTCGACTTGACGGACAATACGATCGTCACGGCGGTCGGAGCGATCTTTTACGAAACTCTCTCGATGGAGATGTGGAAGGTGGAGTACGGGCCGGCGTCGACGAGGACGCCCTCTACCCCGCCGACCGATTCCTCCTCGGTGCGCCCTCCACTGCTCGCCGCCGACGACGAGCTTGATGAGGACGACGCAGACGTCCCCTCCTCCCCCCATCCCCCTGTTCAGGGATCCTTGTCGGCCGCCGGCGATGAGGGGAGACTTGGTGCGTTGCCTGTTGCATCGCCGGTGGCCAGCGTGACGCCGAGAAGGTCAGCGACGGGAAGCGGCAGCCGACAGGGGATTCGTCGACGTCAAAGAAGACTGCAGAGAAGCCGTCGGCAGAGGCGCCGACCGCAGAGAAGCTGTCGGCAGAGGCGCCGACCGCAGAGAAGCCGTCGGCAGAGGCGCCGACCGTAGAGAAGTTGTCGGCAGAGGTGCCAACCTCAGGGGAGCCGTCGGAAGAGGAGCTGCCGGCAGGGGAGCAGTTTGACGACGACTCGTCGAGCGACGTTGTGGAAGTCGTCGGTGCGGCCGGCGGCGACGAAGGGGAGCTGTCGACAGGGGAGCAGTCTGACGACATCGACGTGGTTGAGGTCGCGGTCGAAGAGGCGAAACCGCGACGGTCTGCCCGCCCCAACATCGGCAAGCCGCCTAAGAAGCTGAGCTACCACGCTTGTCTGCCGCCAACTGCCTACAGCACTCTGCTCGACGACGCAGAGGCCGACGTCGATCTTCCTGAGCTCGACCCCGACATGCAAGCCGACCCTGAGCATCGCTGGGACATCGCCAACATGAGTGAAAGAGGCATTGGCGAGCTGGAAGGGCAAGGCGGTGAAGGCCGCCATGGACGAGGAGATCAAGAGTCTCATCTCTAACGGGACGTGGGAGCTGGTCGAGCGTCCGCGCGGTGTCAACGTGATGAAGAATCGTTGGGTACTCACGACGAAGTACCACGTCGACGACACGGTCGCTCGCGAGAAGGCGCGTCTGGTGGTGAAAGGTTTCACACAGGTCCACGGTGCAGACTACGATGAGACGTACGCACCGGTGGGGAGCTACATAACTCTGCGGATCTTCCTCAGCATCGTAGCAGTGCTCGACCTGCACCTGATGCAGCTGGACATGAAAAACGCGTTTCTGCAGAGCAAGCTGGATTGCGTCCTCTACATGTACCAACCCGACTACTTCAACGACGGCACCGGTCGCGTCTGCAAGCTGCTGAAGAGCTTGTACGGGCTGAAGCAGAGTCCGCTGCAGTGGTACTCGGCACTCGACGCGGTGCTGATCGGCGCTGGTTGGAGCAAGAGCCAGGTAGACGAAGCGCTCTACTTCAAGGTCGGCGACGACGGAGTGGCGTGCTGGGTGCTCGTCTACGTCGACGACCTGCTCGCCGCAAGCAGCAGCACTGCGATGCTGAAGGAGCTGCTGGAGGCCGCCTTCGAGCTGCGCGAGATCAAGCCGGTCGAGAAGTATCTCGGGCTGGAGATCGTGCGCTACAGGCCGGCGAGGAAGCTGTGGCTTCACCAGCAAGTCTACGTCGACAAGCTGCGTAGACGCTTCATCGACGAGGAGTAGACCGGGCGAGTGCCGAAGATGCCGGTCTCCGTCGACGCCTACGCAGAGCTGATGTTCGACGACGAAGAGTTCCAGTCGCGCGAGGAAGCAGAGTACCGGCAGAAGGTCGGCTCGTTGCAGATCGCGTCCACCACGACGAGGCCCGACATTGCCTTTGCTTGCAGCAAGCTCGGATCCGGCCTGACAGTGCGGAGCGACAACCACTGGCGTGAGGTCGACCGCTGTCTGCACTACCTTGCTGAAACTCGTGACGCTGCTCTGGAGTTCGGCGGCGGACCAGAGTCGCTGTGTCTGGTCGGCTATGCAGATCCCGACGACGCTGGTGACAAGCAGAATCGGACGAGCACGGTCGGCAACGTTTTTGTCTTCGGAGGAGCCGCAGTCTCCTGGTCGAGCCAGCGCATCAAATGCGCGACGCTCTCGTCGACCGAATCAGAGTACGTCGCGGCCACGGAAGCCGGCAAGGAGGCTCGCCGTCTGCGCTTCCTCCTTGCAGAATTCCGCCTGCTCGACGCAAGGAAGCCGACTGTTCTGCACGTGGACAATCAGTCGGCAATCACTGTCGCAGAGGGCTTGGGGATCAAGGGCAACCTCAAGCACATGGAGCGACACTACGCATGGCTGCAGCAAATGGTGAAGCGCGGGAAGATTGCTCTGCAGTACATCCCGACCACCGAGCAGCCGGCGGATTTTCTGACGAAGGCGCTGCATTTTCTGGCTTTCAACCGGTGCTCCGTCGCAATCGGCCAAGTGAGTCTGGCCGACGTGGGTGACGAGGAGGACGAGGTGCAGCAGTAGGTGCCGTGCCCTTCTGCATTGCTGGTGCGGTGATCTACGTGCTATGTGTTGGGTGCACGTAGAAGGATTTTTCTCCTTGTATTCTATCCCTCTGGGTTCTGGGTGGACCTTGTGTGTGGGTGCCCAAGCGTGAGCTGGGCAGGGGAGTGTCGAAGAGAAAGGCCCCGCCCTCGCTTGGGCGCAGCCGATCTCGCCGTCGACGAGACGTTCGTGACGGATTGGTCGACGAAATGGGCTTCTGCAGTTCGATGGAAGTTGCGGTCGAGCAGGCTCTGCTCGACAGAATCTGGTCGACAAGCTCTGCGCGACGAGCTCTGGTCGACGATCCTGGTCGAGTAACTCTGGTCGAAGAGTTCAGGTCGAGGAACTCTGGTCAAAGAGTTCGGGTCGAGGAACTCTGGTCGAAGAGTTCGGGTCGAGGAGCTCTTCTCGGCAAACGCTGTTCGACCGAGCAATGTTGAGCTGATCGACCGAAGTTGCAGAGTTGTGCGAAACTCTGCGGAGGCGTGCGAACTTTCGCCCAGGGGGTTTTGGCGAAGTTCTACCTGCGGAACGGCATCACGTGGTCGACGGTGCGCACCTGGCAAAACCGACGACACGTTTTCTACCTGGCACCTGCGCAATGTGCCTGACGGTGAGACCGTCAACCTGCACCTACTTGGTAGGTGCGCACATCTGCGCAGATAGACAACCTGCGACTGCAGATAGCAACCTGCGAGTGCAGATAGTCACCTGCGACTGCAGTGCTGGCAGACCGCGCGTGGTGCAACGTTGGCAGACCACTCTGCTGCAACGTTGGCAAGCCGCTCTTCTGCTACGTTGGAAGATTTCGCCCTTGCTAGGTGTTGCATGCCTTTCTAGTGCCTCAATTTTACTATCAACTTTTCAATGCAAGTTGTTCTTTCAATTCCTTAGTGGAAACTCTTGCAAAACTTCTCTGTGAACACAAGCAAGAAGTAAGAACTTTAGTGCAAAGCTACGATCACTCGCACAACCCCGTGCCCTATACCGTAGTCCACTCCCGTTGTGTAGTGACTCTCCGCAGAGGTACTGCTCGAGGTGCTGGAGCTGCTAGTGCTGGAGGTGCTGCTGGTGCTGGAGGTACTGGAGGTACTGCTCGAGGTGCTGGAGCTACTAGTGCTGGTGGTGCTGCTAGTGCTGGAGGTGCTGGAGCTGCTAGTGCTAGAGGTGCTGCTGGTGCTGGAGATACTCGGGTTGCTGCAGGTGCTGGACCTGCTGGTGCTGGAGCTGCTAGTACTGCTGGAGGTACTACTGGGGGTGCTGGAGGTACTGCTGGAGTTGTTGCTGCTGCTGGAGGTGCTGGACCTGTTGGTGCGCTTCGCCACCTCCTTGGTCTTCCGCCAGCTCCGACTGAGTTCCCTGTCGCTGGTACTACTCCACCTTTACTGTTCCCACCAGCAGACCTGTCTCAGCCACAGCTACTCCCTCAATCCCCACTGCCTACTCCTACTCCTTACACTGCTGTGACAGAGTCCCTGACTGAGAGTCGAGAGCCTGAGACTCGTGCTTCCACTCCTGAGCGTCGTGAGCCTGAGACTAGAGCTTATGTCCGTGCTCGTCTTCCTCGTGTTCATCGTTCTCGTGCTCCGGCTGTCCCAGGCACTCACGATATGACACTCCGTCCTTCCTCTGTTCCACAGTGTGTTGTCCTACCGCCACCTCCTGCGTCTTCTCTTCCTGCCGGTGCTGACCCTCCGTCCGACCTTGCTTGTGCGTCCAGTCGGACTGTTACTCGCTTTCTTGCTACGGTTGTGACGGACCCTACGTTCTCGTCTCCTGCTGCGTCTGCCTTAGTCGCTGAGCTAGTTGACTTTGCTGCTGCGTACCGTCTAGACTACCTTGCGAGTCTCGTTTCTGACCCTGACCCTGCCTGTCCTCCGTCCGTCGGGGGTGGGACTGCCCTTGGCTGTGACGTCCTTGAGGACAGACAGGAGGAGCTGGAGTGCCTTGCAACTGCTGTACCTCATCTCGCTACCATGCTACTTGCCCCTGAGGGAGACCCGGATGCACTTGACATCCCCACCCCGCGCTCTTAGAGAGGCGATCTCGGGTGAGTACTCCTCTCAGTGGCAGACAGTCATGGACGCAGAGATGGCTTCCTGGAGGTCCACAGGCACCTACGTCGACGAGGTTCCCCCTCCGGGGGTGAACATCGTCAGTGGCATGTGGATTTTCAGGGTGAAGCGGCCGCCGGGTTCTCCGCCTGCCTTAGGCACGTTACGTCGCTCGAGGCTTCAGTCAGCGTGAGGGGTTTGATTTTTTTCAGACCTTCTCCCCCACCCCGAAGATGACCACTCTTCGGGTGTTGCTACACGTTGCAGCACAGCGCGACTACGAGCTGCACTCCCTCGACTTCTTGACAGCTTTCTTGCAAGGTAGCCTTCACGAGGCCATCTGGCTTCGTCGTCCAGAGGGCTTCAGTGGGTCGTTTCCTGAGGGTACCCAGTGGAGCCTACGACGACCAGTGTACGGCCTGCGTCAGGCTCCCCACGAGTGGCACGACACACTGAGGACGACACTTGCGGCTCTTGGTTTCGCTCCCTCGACAGCTGATCCGTCACTGTTTCTGCGCACTTACACTACGATTCCGGCGTTCTACATCCTCGTATACGTCGACGACTTGGTCTTTGCTATTGCTGACACTGAGGCACTGGCCCGAGTGAAGGCGGAGCTGCAGGAGAGACACACCTGCACTGACCTGGGTGAGCTGCGTAGCTATCTTGGCTTGCAGATCACCCGGGACAGAGCACGGCACACCATCACCCTGACGCAGTCACACATGGTGCACTAGGTCCTTCAACGCTTTGGCTTCACGTGGTCCTTGCCACAGCCCACTCCTCTGCCTACAGGCCACTCGCTCTCAGCTCCACCTTCGGTCGAGTCCGTAGAGCCGAGTGGTCCGTATCCAGAGCTAGTGGGTTGCCTCATGTACCTGATGACATGCACACGACCTGACCTCGCGTACCCTCTCAGCCTCCTGGCTCGCTACGTGGCTCCCGGTAGACACCGTAAGGTGCACTGGGAAGCTGCAAAGAGGGTACTGCGTTACTTGTGCTGTACATCGGGCATGGGGCTTGTGCTTGGAGGACGGGACTCAGTGGTACTCACAGGTCACTCCGACGCTTCCTGGGCTGACGACCAAGCGACTCAGCGGTCGTCACAGGGGTACAGCTTCAGTCTCGGCTCTGGTTCTGTCTCGTGGAGGTCCACTCGTTCGTCGTCTGTGCTTGGTTCCAGCTGTGAGGCCGAGATCTACGCTGGGGCCATGGCTGCACAGGAGCTGCGCTGGCTGACCTACCTGCTGACCGACTTGGGGGAGCGGCCTCGTTCTCATCCAGTTCTGTACGTCGACAACAAGGCAATGCTTGCCTTGTGTCGCGAGCAGAGACTGGAGCACAGAACGAAGCACATTGCTCTTCGCTCCTTCCTTGCACGTGAGTTGCAGCAGCGTCGTCAGCTCCTCCTTTCCTACGTGGCCTCACGGGTCAACACTGCTGATGTGTTCACCAAGGCCCTTGGGTCTAGTGATCATCAGCGGTTCTGCACTGCTCTTGGGCTTGTGCCCACTCTGCCTCACCTGCTGGTTGCTTGACTTGCACTTGTTGTACACTGATATATATCTTTATACCTGCATGTTTACTCTTGCTAGGTTGTGATCAGTGTACTGCCTTGCTATTATACCTCTGCATGTGAACTGGCCTTGTGGCCGCTTGCTTGTGCTCAGATTGTGTGGTGTCCTTGAGATCCACCCTGAGCTTTGATTTGCTTTGTTCTCTTGCTTGACTGGTCTTGTGACCATCTGGTTGTCCTCCACTTAGCCTATAGGGGTGTGTCAAATTGCATTTGTTCTTGCTAGGCTGTCCTGAGGTACACCATAAGGGGTACAACCCCAATTAGGTCTAGTAGTTGTACACATCTCTCATGCTAGTCAATCATTCCTCTCATTCAGATTTTAACATCCGTGTATTTCTGGGCAGTCGTGTTCGCCTTGCGAATTGCGCCTGCTGCCTTCTCGAGTATCTCCTGTAGTTCTATCACAAATGATTTTGATCTCGGGACCGGATTGTCGGGTGTAGTTGTGGTTGGTACCACCGGGTCCATCCCGTAATTCAAGAAGGGGGAGTGATTAGTCGTGCTGGACGGGACATTGTTGAACGCGAACTCCAGCATGGCGAGTGAAGTTTCCCAGCGAGCGGGGTCGGGGCAGTTTGTCCTGATCAGCTGCTCCATCGTCTGATTGGTCCGCTCGGTTTGCCCGTCGGTTTGCGGGTGGTATGCCGACGAAAACTGTAGCTTCGTGCCGTACTGCGCCCACGTTTCCTTCCAAAACTTTGACGTGAACTTCGGATCCCTGTCGCTGACGACCGGCGAGGGGATTTCGTGTAGTCACACGACGGTCAAGATGAGGAGGCGCGCAGTTTCTTCGGCTGTGATTGTTGTACGACATGGTGCGAAGTACGCCATTTTCGTGAGGCAATCGACGACGACGAGTACATCGTCGTTTCCGGTCGACCCAGCTGGCAGCCCCGTGACGAAATCCATCGTCACCTATTGCCACGGTCGTTCGGGTGGCTCGAGGGGTTGCAGCAATCCAGCTGGTCGTTGACGTGTCAATTTCATGGCTTGGCACACCCTGCATGAGGACACATAGAACTGCACGTCGTTAGCAGAATCAGGCCAATAGTATTGACGGTGCAACAGCTTCTGGGTTTTATCAACCCCGAAATGTCCGGAGAGATTAGAATCGTGGACCTCCTGGATGAGGAGTTCACGCAACAACCGATAAGCGGGAACCCAAATCCGGTTAGTTCCGGCTTTTAGGTAATAGTTCCCCTTTTGCGTCGTCGCTTGCTGGTGATTTCCAGTCGTGAAGAACGGGTCCGTAGTGTAGCCGTGGGTGAATAGTCCCGTAAGTAGCGAGTTTGAATGGGTGATGAGCACTGCAGCGGATTGAACTGTCGGTCGGGTAAGAGCGTCGG